ACAGAGGCTGTTAGGGGTGATCAGGCAGGCAGGCAGGTGAGCAGTTAGGAGCCAGCAGTCCTGGATTGTGAGAGGGATGTCCGACTGCCGGGGATCGGGCCTAAACCAGCAATCGGACATCCCCCGAGGGGTCCCGGATGGAGAAGGTGCAGGCTGGGCTGAGGGGACCGCCGCTTCCCTGCACAAATTTTGTGCACCGGGCCTCTAGTAGTTTATGAAAGTTGAAGACATATTCTATTTTGTGTTTCAAAGAGTTCTGTCCAGCTGTAATTTGTAGAATGGATTTTGCATTCGAGAGTGAATACAAGTAGACCAGGTAACAGATATTAGTAGCTTGGACCAGGGGTGGTGGTGATGTAGACAGATTCAAGAGAAAGATAGGATGTAAAATCAATAGAACTTGATGATAAATTGGTGTCTTTTGCCTTATTTCTTTTTTTTAAAATCAGACTTGCCAAAGATTTGTCTATTTTATTGGTCTTTTCTGTGACACAGCTTTTGGTGTTATTGATCAACTCTACTGCAGTTTCTAATTCAATAATTTCTTCTTTTTTCTTTATTAAATTCTCTTACAACCATAATATTACCTTTGGCTGATGGTCTATTCGATAGGATGTCTGCTGGAACTGGCGTATCTCTCTGACGATGTGTGATATCTAACAAAGAAACAACAACAGAAGCAAAAACAAAGTATTTTCTTGTGTTGCAGCACATTCTTCTGGGAGCCCAGCCCAGAGTAGTTAGTCACTTCCTCAGTGAGGTATCTGGAGCTCTGCCTGATCATTCCCTATGCGCAGGGCTCTCTTGCCTTTCAATAAGCTATAGGAAATGCTAACAGCAAGGAGATACTGAATTCACAATCAGGAAGCAGCTGGCACTGGGTGGCCAGCTCAGGAGAGGCAAGCTCTGGATGATTTTTTCCATGTGCTCCTTGCTTCTAAGGTTGGTGCTCAGAACCTCATTGTTGAGCAAGAAGCCTTCAGCATCTGTCTATCACTGGTCAGTCTTAGACAGCCATACCAGGAGCTTTATTCACCACCCGCTTTGCTCAGATTGCAAGCTGAAATGGCTCAGCTGAAAATCTCAATTGGCCAACATCAGGTGTTAGATCCAGTGTCCAACACCTCGTCCATTAAAAAGCAAGCAGTGACTTTCATGACTTAGCCTCTTCTCCATAAGCCAGTGAAGTCATTGAAATGGGCTGATTAGGAAATTATCACCTACCATTCTCATTTTGGAGAAATTGACAAGGCCTTCCTCAGTAAAGTTTGGTGTTCCTTCTTCAATAAATGCCAGGTCTGTCAGGTACATCCCCAGATAAGGAACGGCTGGGGGGTTACAACTGCAAGACCAAGAGGAGCTGTTCCCATGCTTGTTCACACACATGTCGGTTTCCCTCCCCAGTTAAACAGGAAGCAACTATGCTGCTTCATCCTGAAGAATAAAGTCTTCTAATTCCATTTTCAAAAGCATACTTACGATATACAGAGTATTTTTTTATTGTGATGAAAAACATATACAATTTTCCATCTTGTTTTTCAATTATAGTTCACATTCAATATTATTCTGTACTAGTTTCAGGTGTACAACATAGTGGTTAGACAATCATATTGATATGCAGAGTTTTAAATGCATCTTCTCACAATAGAATATAACACAAATTACAGCCCATGCTTTACTATGTTTTTGAGACAATAACATGTTCAAACAACAGGATAACTTATAGACAAATACAAACTATTTGCTAACAGTGCTTGTCGGCAGTATTTGTTTACAGTACTGTAAATTGGCCACACTCCTCTGAGGGGTAAATGCAGGTAGGGAATCCCTAAGCCCTCACCTCATTTAATTGCCAACACTCAACCTTGAACAGGGTGGAAAAAATCACTGTGATTAGAGGTTGTAAACTGGTTTTCTGTTTTAGTTAGTATTTAATTGTACAGATGTAATTAATGTTATGACTGCACACTAAAGTGAGACCCTGTTTGTTTTTTTGTTTGTTTTTTGAGGAGGGTTACACTGGGTCTTCTCAGAGTCTAGAGCTGAGAACATGGGCCTTTGATCCAGAGAGAAGTGAGTTTGAGTCCCAGCTTGACCACTTACTAAGTGATGCTGTCCTAACTCTCTGAACTAGTTTCCTCATCTGTAAAATGGAGACAATAAAACATATGTCTCTAGTTAGTTGTGAGGCCTAAATAAAACACATCAAGCACTTAGCATGGAGTCTGTAACTTAATAACTATTCAGTGAATAGTTATTGTACTATGGTTGTTGTTGTTGTTGTCACTAGGAGTCTTTCTTTTACTTTTGGCATCACAGGACCTATGTGCAGATAGTGAGAAAACCAGCTGTAGAAGATAGATTTCTATTCTATTCTATTCTATTCTATTCTATTCTATTCTATTCTATTCTTCTCCTTCTTATTCTCTTTATTCTCCTCTCTCTTTCTCTCTCAGCAGTGAAAGATCCAGCAATAAAAGGCCCAAAATAGATAACAATAATCAATAGATACTGGAACATTTACATTTTAAAAATCACAGGATATCATTGCACTTAGCTTAAGAAATATCCAGCCCTAACCGGTTTGGTTCAGTGGATAGAGGGTCAGCCTGCGGACTCAAGGGTCCCAGGTTCGGTTCAGGTCAGGGGCATGTACCTTGGTTGTGGGCACATCCCCAGTGGGGAGTGTGCAGGAGGCAGCTGATCGATGTCTCTCTCTCTCATCGATATTTCTGACTCTCTATCTCTCTCCCTTCCTCTCTATAAAAAATCAATAAAATATATTTTAAGAAGAATTAAAAAAAAAGAAATATCCAATCAAACTTTATATAGTAAATCACGGTTTGATTTACTGTGGTGACATTTTTCTTCTTTCTGGAATACTCTGCATACTGTGAGTATATCTATATGACACTTACTATATGCACAGTATTCCAAGTGAAAAGGAAAATCAGAAAAATATGTAGATGATGGAAGCTGTTTCCTATTTGTTTTTCTTTACAAACCAAAGTAGGAGGTAGGCCTCTATCTGTATACTATATAAATTATTTAAATATATTTATAAATTATGGATAATTTAATAAAGATATACATACTTTTTAAGGGTTTCTCTGAGATTTTTAAATCTTCCTTCAGATGAAACAGTCTTCTGAAGTTTGTCCATTAGAGCTTTTGTCTAGAAAGAAACAAATGCCTTAGTATATCATGAAATACTCCTATGGTTTGATAAGAGTTACCAAAAGATGCTCAGTTCTCTTCCACAATGGCAGATTTCTGTGATGGGATATAATTTTCAAAGTATTGAGATGAGGTATTATATTTAAATTTGATGTGGAAAAAAAAAACATGTGGAGAAGAAAAAGTGACTATACCACTCAGTTAGCCCAAAAGAGAAGAAAATGTGTAGAAAGTAAAAATAGCAATGCACGAGAAAGTCTGGGTCTTAAAGGACTGACAGAGACTATGTTGAACAGAGACTATTAAAGGCGAAGTCCCATGTCAGGGGTTTTGTAATGAATCTCTTTGAGTGTTAATTTCCAAATCATCCAAGTACATACTGGTTGATTGGTTATGAACCTACCAATATCCTCTCCTCCAAATCCTTTTTTGTGTGTGTGTGGTCATCTTCATCAACTTGTTAGAAAAATACAATTGATACTTACCAAGAAATGGAATTGTTGTTGACATTGATCTGGACTTTCATGGCACATGGGAGGAAAAGAGGGTGGCCCTTGGGGATGATGATACACACTTGGGAACACCCGCATCCAGGCAGCTTGGCTGGGAAAAGCACTAGGAATGCCCGGGTTGAGGCTCCTCAGACTACCCTGTCCCATAAGCCTGGAGGGGCTCTCCCAACACTGGCCAACACCCATGGAGAAGGCCAGGAGGAAAAGCCAGGGGAATTTGTTACTGAAGTTATCTGAATGGAAATGACAGCATGAGCATGCTGAGAAAATTAATAAAGCTCTATATCTGTACCTCTAAGTCATCATGCCGAAACTTTACATTTACTACATGAATAACAAAGAAAGAGATGAATGTTGAGGCCCCTCATCCCTGGTGTTTGGCCCTAAGGCATTTGCACCCTTACTTTGGGGGAGAGAGAATGTTCACTCGACATCACTTGAGATCAGTGAGCCCACTCTAAATAATTCAGGAAAAAACTCCTGTCAACCACATTGTTTGAGGTTATCCCCAAATATGTCATAATGAATGTTTTGGATTGTATTTTCTTTTCTAAATGAACCATTTAGAAGTGCACTGAGTGGAATCAATTAAGTGGTAAGAACACAGTAATTACCCACATTGGCACCTTTCTTTGGCAACTGAGCTGCTCGTTTCCGTTAATTTTTTCCTAATTAGTAATATTTATCTTGGCTCAGGTCTCCCAGCCTCTCTGCAGCAGGATGTGTCACACGCTGATGCTCACCTGCTTGGACACCTTGGCCCAGGTTTTCTTCAGCCGGTAGATGGCGGTCCTGTTCAAGGCTGAGGTGATCTCCAGCATGCCGTTGTAGTTGTGCAGGCATCGGCAAATGTCTGCCACCGCCACCCACTTCTCAATTGCGTTGGCACGAGAGCTGATATCTGCGTAATTCATGATCTGGGAGGCCACCAGGTTACTCATCTGAGACAACGGGAAAGCCAAAAGAGGCAGCTAAGAGCCAAGGTAATGCATTCAGGCCACATACTCGAGTTACCTGCAGAAATGTCAGGAAAGCAGGTACCAAGGGGCATGGAGACCATAGTCCAGATTTAGAGAACTTTCTGGAGTGACTAAAGTCTATACTGATACTAACAAACTAACGAGCACCTGTTCATCTTCAGAGGGAAGAGAGGCAGTGCTTAGAATCAGCTTGTTGAGGAAGAGGTGACTTAGCTCGTCAGTAATTTTGATGAAGGAGCCATTTCCAACAATTATTGAGGAAATGGAATAGAATGAGATAACCCCTGAGGAATGGCAACCTTTGCAGATCATGGGTCTCCCTTCTTGGGGGCTCTCCACATGCTCCTTGCCCCCTTTGGTGTGGAATATTCACTCTAGCAAGCCTCAGTTATCACAGAGAAAGAAGACACTTCACCCCCAAATTGTCTCTAACCTGATCAACTCTCAAACCAGAAACACTTCAGTGAAATGGAAGAGAGAATATTTTCTCCTTCCTATCTTGTTGAATTTTTTCCCACCAGCAGAAAAAGGACCTATACTTTCAAGGCTAAGCACTGTAATTCTTTTAATAAAAGCCAAGGGAAAAAGAAATAGCTTAAGAAGCTCAACACAGAATATGGAAAGGAAAAGGGCAGAATAGGATTGATTGCTAAAAAGAGAATATGTGATCTAATATTATATCTGTACTAGAGGCCCGATGCATGAAAATTCATGCAAGAGTAGGCCTTCCTTCCCCCGGCTGCCGGCACCAGCTTCCCTCTGGCACCCGGGACCCGGGCTTCCCTCCTCCGGCCTTCGCAGGCACCCAGGACCCAGGCTGGCTTCCCTCTTTTTTTTTTTTTTTAACATTTGATGTTTTTATTTTCCAGGAAACTGTAAAAGCACATACATGAATTATCTCACTTTCTCTTTAACAATCAGAACTGATGTTCTACAGGTTGGAACCAGCATGGCAGAGCAGTCGACCTCCAGTTCTTGTTCTTACCGGTCAATGCCTGTGTTTACAGAATTTTCTTAACTGTAACTATTTAACTACATTAACACCTTCATCTTACAGATGAGAAAACGGAGGGAAAAAGATTAAATAACTTACCCAACATCACTAAGTGGATAACAATGACGAGTTTAAAGTGAATTCTGTTTGACAGCAAAGCCCAAGCTCTTAAATGCTATGCTATTTTGCCTTGGAATATTTAAGGCAGGGACCAGTGGTGCTCACACAATGATTATCAAATAAAAGTGTTGGGAATCATAAGAAATTTAGGGGCTCATTTCGTGGTGAGACGAGAGGGGTAGGCCCAGGACTACCGACTCCTGCTATACACTGAAATGTAAATACATAGTTAACATTTATAGGGTACTTCCTATGTGCCAGGGAGTAGGTTAGCATTTTGACTACATTAAGTTGATTCTAACAGCAAGCCTGTGAAATGGCTACTGTTGTTATTCCCCTTTTAAAGGTGGGGTCACTGACAGCAAAAGGCTGTCATTCAGCCAAAGTCACATCACCAGTAAGTGGTGTAGTCACATTAGAATCCAAGGAGTCCCTTGCTTTTAAAGACTCCCCTAATAAAGGTTCCGTGCTTACTAAATCTTGAATAGAACGAATTCTGCCCAAGTTTGAGGGAAAGTGCTCAAGGATATGAAAACATTTTCCTAAGATAACACACTCAACTAGATAACAGACGAGCAGATGCTTGGATCTCTTTCTCCTGTTCTCAGTGAAAGGAGTTTTTAGGGGTAAAATCGGTTTTAGGAAATTTTAGGAATTAAGGGGTCCATAGAAAAAGCACAGGGCTACAGAGCAGCAGAAGGTACACTTCCATAGAATAAGGGAGCTGGGAGCTGCAGAAGATAAACATTTACAGAATAAAGGGAAGGAAGCCCCTCATTCAGAGAGGGAAGAGGAAAGCCCAAAGGGAATAGGAAAACAATAAGGGAGAAGAAGAGAGCCTGGCTTCCCTCTTGCCCCAGCTTTGTCAGGAAGGATGTCCAGAATGACGTCTGGAAGACAACTGGTCTAATTAGCATATTACCTTTTTATTATTATAGATACTAAATCTGATGGGTACAGGCATTCTTTGATGATTTTGTTACCCTTAAGATCTTTTTTTTTGAGATGAGATTTTGAGGGAACATTTATTAAAGCTGGGGATAATGAAAAAAGAACTAGGGCTTGGGATAGATATAGTGCCTCAGAATTATTAATATGCATATTCATTAAAAATTTATTTTATATTGAGTACCTACTATGAACCAGGCATTCTTTTAGGTGCTGGAAATAGAAGGACATAAATCAGCACCCCTGACCTTAAGGCACTGAGTCTAGCTAGATGGGAAGGTGAGGGGGTGGGCAGGCATAAACAGCAAATGCCACACAGTGAAATGCAAAGCCAAGTCTGCACGGGGGTGGGAGGTGTGTTTGAGCGCACAGAGGAAAAGAATCTTAAGGCCCTGATATTCGTCTTCCTATAACATGCCCAAGGTTTTCTTTTCATGGTTACTCACATCATTAAAGTGCTGGCTGGTTTTCATAATGTAAGGTGTTCTTTCATTTTTATCCAGCTTCATCCAACCCTGCCCAAGAAATTCTCTGAAAGTTCAAAGCAAAATATAAAACCAATTAAACTTTTAAAAAATGGTCAATTATTGGTGTGAATAATTATTAACATTATATATGTTAAACTTGACATTGCCCAACACCTGCTGCTACTGACCCTTTCAAATGAATTTTAGCTCAACTCTAGCATTTCACCAAGCCATGCAAAAAAGAAAAAGATTTTCCAGTTTCCAGCTTGCTCTGGAACTTTGTCCCTGGTAGGATCATTATAAAGGCTTCTCTAAAGTTGGAAAACAATGACCAACACAGAGGAATAAAGAGGTTAAATACTAACTCAGAAACCAAGACTGTTTTCCTTGGATTAGCTTGTTAAAAAAAAATGTAAGCCTTAGCAGAAAGTCCAAAAAATCAATCACTACCAAAAATGTTAATCAAGACCAGCATGTTCTCCTCCACTTTGCTCTGCATCCAGGCAAATATGATTCCATGGGCAGGACATTCCTTTGTTCTCCCAGGAGCCCAGAACAGTACACCCTGGTGAGGGCTAAATAAACAAACACTTTATAGCCCATTCATGTGGTGAAGGCAGTCACAGCTGGGAGCTCAGCCTGGTGGAAGGTCTGTCTTTCAAATAACGTTCTTGCTCTTTCACTTCACCTTTGAGCAGGCCACCAGATCACAGCAAGCGACCATCAAGGTAGAGCATACAGGAATTATTTTATACTAGAAGCCCAGTGCACGACATTCGCGCACTAGACACTGTGGTGGGGGGGTGTCCCTCAGCCTGGCCTGCACCCTTTAGCAGTCCAGGAGCTCTCGAGGGATGTCTGACTGACGGCTTAGGCCCGCTCCCAGGGGGAGCACGCTTAAGCCGCAGTCAGACATCCTTAGTGCTGCCACAGAGGCGGGAGAGGCTCCTGCCA